ACAGGTTGGGAGAAGAAGTGAAACTAGGGGAGTGGGGAATCCCCAACTCTGCGCCTCCCCAATGCAGACAAGGCTCTCGGAGCCTGAGACCCTGAGAGCCACGCCCGAGACCTGGGACTTCGTCCTGATCCCTCTTCTCCTACACCAAGCCTCTCTGTCACACTGTCTGCCTGAGTCCTGGACGAGGATCTGTCTGTGGAAACCAGGGAGAGACCCCCAGGCTGCGCCCAGCCCCTTCCCCTTCCCTACTCGTCCTGGAATCCCAGTCCCTGAACTGGACCCCCTGCCTCCCACTCCTTACCTCTCCCCTTGGACCTTTGTACAGGGAAACTCACCACGGGGAACTTGATGCCAGAGAGTGAGCTCGCCCTGGGAATGGAGGTGTAGAGACAGGGGTTTTCTCTCTAAACCCGGTGAAGTTTTGTCTGAAGCCACCACGTAGAGATTCTCATAGAAACGAAGTTTCCTTTTTGTTTATTAATACAGTAGGTAGCACAATGTTGATAATCCCTGAATGATTAGAATTCCAATCCATAAAAGACCTGTGTCAAAACAGCATTACAAAGCTCTTAAGTTTTACTTTCCCAGACTATGGAACTGTGGCTCTGGGTTGTTGCATTTAAAATTACCTTCATTCCTTAGCCCGAGTTTCCCTGTGTGAGTCCAGAACGTCTCCTGAATACAGAGAAGCAGGGTTTGTTACTGTCTATTGCAACCGGGAGCCTGTAGTCATCACCTCAAAGTTGCGAGTGCTCCATGCAGTCCCAATGCTCTTCACCGACGCTCAAGCACTGCCTGTTTTCCTGAACTATGCACATCTAAGCAGTGTGCATATTTTATCTGGACACTTAGTATTTTTATAACTGTTTTTTTTTTTTTAATCATAAGGAGCCAATTAGCTTTTAGGAAGTCCAACAAAATGTATTGAATACCGAATGCAAAGAACCCCCTGCTAGGCTCTTCCACTGCTTTAGAATTATTTCCTCTGCTCCTTTTCCTCACCTCCTGCTTCTCCAGCCCTTCCCTCTGCCCCTCTCATCCTCACACCTCCCCCCACTTAGTCCCGGCCACCGGGTCACTCCTGAATTGTGGCACTAACACTGTCCCTCACCTCTTGCCCATGTCTGTTCTCCCCACAGTGCTCGGCCGTCCTGCTAACGTTTGCAAAGTCCTGTCATTTCTTCACTTAACAATGGTTGGATTCTGGTCTACAATTTGCTATATGTTTTCAATTCGTCTCATCTCTTTTTGTTTCTGTTCCTCCTCTACTACTTCCTTATGTGTCAAATAAACAGTTTGTAGTTTATGATTTTAATTCTCCTAGTGGCTTTTGGCTATATTTCTTTACACTAATTTTTTACTGTTGTAAGAATAGAAACACAATTCCTTGGCTTTTCACAGTGAAGTTCAGGTTATATTAAACGACACCCGGCAAAATAGAGGACACTTGTAACAGTGTAGCTTCATTTAACCTAACATTATGCTATTATTGTTTTATATATTACATCAATCTATATTATGAACTCAATGATACAGTGTAATACTTTTTGTTTTAGACAAGCAGCCACATGTCTTCAGGAAATTAAGAAAATGAATGTGAATGTGACATGTGTATGTGCATCATTCCTGTTGTTAATTGTTCCTTTCTGTATATCTGGGTCACCATCTAGCATCATTTCCCTTCAACCTGAAGAATTTCCTTTAAAATTAAATGTAGTACAGGACCCCTAGGAAATGAATTTTATGGCTTTGATGATCTAAAAATGTCTTTTTTTTTTGCCTCCCCTCCCCCCCCCTTTTTTTTTTTTTTTTTGCTAATTAGGGCGTTTACGTTTAATAAAATTCACCAGTTTTAGCTGTGCTTCTTAGTGAATATTGGTAATTATTTATAGTCGTGTAACTACCATACTGCCCAGTAGAGAAACACTGAAAGCAGAGAACCCCCTGCCAGGCTCCTCCACTGCTTTGGAGTCCTTTCCCCTGCTCCTTGTCCTCACCTCCTGCTTCCCCAGCCCTTCCCTCTGCCCTCATCCCTCACACCCTCCTCTCCTCTTAGTTTAATCCTTGCCTCCCACCCTCACCCCTTCCCTTCACTCAACCACCGCTCTGTTTTCTGTCACTGCAATACTGAAATTTCTAGAATTTAATGGACATGCAATCATATGATATGTAGTCCTTCGTTTGGTCTCTCCCTTAGCATAACGGTGTTTGAGATGATGCCATTCACTCATTTTTGTTGCTGAGCAGCTGCTGAGTATTGCTGGAATCCCAGTTTATTAATTGGTTTCTCTATTCTCTAGCTGATTGACATGTGGATTCCTCCAGCTAGGGTTTGTTATTAATGAAGCCACTAGAAATAACTGCTTACAAGTGTGACCTTACATTTTTATTTCTTTAAGATGAATACATATTTGTGGAATTGCTGGGTCATGTAGTAGCGGACGGGTAGCTGTATAAAAAATTGCCATACTGCTTTACAAGTTGACTGCCACATTTTTTGCATTCCTACCAGCAATATCAGACATTCCTATTTTTTCCATATACTTGACAGTATTTAGACTTATCATATGTCTTTTTAACTTTACCTATTCTAGGTTATGTATGATGGCTTCTCATTGTGGTTTTAACTTGCACTTCTTAGATGACTAGTATTGTTTACTATCTTTTCATGTTCATCTAAGTGACTTATTACATATATTTTATGAACTATTTTGCAAATTTAATGATTAATTCCAGAGACTTTTTCAGAATCTCCTAGTGTTTTCTACATATGCAATGAAGCTGGTGACAAAGAAAGACTTTTGTTTCTTCCTTTCCTATCTATTGATCTTTTTTCTTTTAAAATTATTTTTATTTGGTAGACATGAGGTCTCACTATCAGGCTGGTCTCCAACTCCTGAACTCAAGTGATCCTCCCACCTCAGCCTCCCAAAATGCAGGGATTACAGGCATGAGCCACCATGCCCTGTCCTTCTGTTGGTCTCATTTCATTTTCTTGCCATGTTGCACTGGTTAGGATGTCTGTTAGATATTTAAACAAGAACGATGAGAGCTCACATGTTTGTTTACAAGGAACTTAAACAAATTTACAAGACAAAAAAACCCCAGCCCCATCAAAAATTGGCAAGGGATATGAATAGACACTTCTCAGAAGAAGAAACATATTTAAAAAAGCTCAATATCAATGATCATTAGAGAAAAGCAAATCAAAACCCCAATGATGTACTATCTCCTGCCAGTCAGAATGGCAATGATTAAAAAGTGAAGAAACAATAGATGCTGGCGAGACTGTGGAGAAATAGGAATGCTTTTCCACTGTTGGTGGGAATGTAAAATAGTTCAACCATTGTGGAGGATGGTG